GGTTTCTCTGTGTAGCCCTGGCTGTCCTGAAACTTCCTCTGTAGACCAGGCTGGCCTTGAGCTCACAGTGATCCGTCTGCCTCTGCCTTCCCTGTGCTAGGATTAAAGGCGTGCACCACCACCGCCCGGCCTGGCTCTATCTTTTTAAGCATTAGCTTCAGTTTATTGGGAAGCCTTTCTAGACCTTCCTTATAAGAGTAATCCTTACCTGCTAATAAAGTGCTATGGCTTACATATGTACCACTTACTGTTTATATGTCCAGGACTATAACTGTCTTTTGTACTGAACTATGAACATTTCTGAAATCAAGGACTGGACAAATGTATTTCTGTATCCTTGACATGGATGGTAGTAGCTAGAAGTAGTAGGGGCTTAATGAGTTTTTTAAATAAATATTTTAATACATTTGTGCCAAGGGTATCTTGTGAAACTGTGGCAATGTGTCCCATGGATACAATGTTTCTTATTAGAGTTGTATTTGAGGAAGTCTTTTATGCTCAAGGTTTGTTTTTATAGCCTGGAACAAATCTCTTCCCTCAGAACCACTATTATTTCATTTGTAAAATTGAAGGATCATCTTTTTCATGCTATTAGGGAAGAGAGAGCCCTGTAGAGGAAGCATGTGAAATCAGTTGCCATCAAAGAAATGTGTTGGGGTGTGTGTGTGTGTGTGTGTGTGTGTAAAAATAAAAGTTGCTCTGGTGAGATACCACAAGCCTTCAGTCCCAGTTCTTGGGAAACTAAGGTAGGATTATGAGTTAGAGGCAAGCCTGGGCTACAGAGTGATTTCCAGGACAGTCAGGACTATACAGAGAAATGCTGTCTTGAAAAAATAAACAACAACAAAACCAGAAGGCTACAGTCGCTCATCTCTCAGATATTTCCCATATATATATATATATTGGTTTTTTGAGACAGGGTTTCTTTGTGTTGCTTTGGAGCCTATCCTGGCACTCGCAGAGATCCACCTGCCTCTGCCTCCCGAGTGCTGGGATTAAAGGCGTATGCCACCAATGCCCTTCCCATTTATATTTTTAAGTCTGAAGTCTTGACTGTGGTCCACTCAGATCTCAGAGAACCAGAATTATTGAAGTAGCTGGTGGCAAAACACAACACCCGAGTCAGGTGTGTGGCTCAAGCCTGTAAAATCCTAGTCAAAAGGAGGCTGAGGCAGTAGGATTGCTGGGAGTTTTATGCCACCCTGAGCTACAAAGTGAGTGCCAAGAAGCTTACATATCAAGACCCTGTAAGACAAAATGTGTGTCTGTGTGTGTGTGTGTGTGTGTGTGTGTGTGTGTGTGTGTGTGTGTGTGTGTGTGTGTGTGTGTGTGTAGGTCAGAGGATTTGTAGGAAACATTTCTCTCCTTTTACCATGTAGTTTCTGAGGTTCAAGGTCATCAGGTTTGGTGGCAAGCACTTTTGCTCTCCCTGGCACAGGGGAAATGTTAGGGGATCCACAGGGATGACCCCCAACTAAGAATCTAAGTAGTGGTGGAGAAAATGCCATTAATGCCCTTCCCCTATAATGAGATTGGTGTCTACTGCCTTGGTTACCATTCCTAGAGCCTTCATCCAGTAGCTATTCGAAGGAGAAACAGCTAAGCACTGAACCATACACCTGGAATCCAGTTGTGGAGAGGGAGGAGGGAGCAAAGGAGCCAAGATGGTGCTGCAGAAACAGATGACCTGACCTAGTGAGAGCATGGAGACCCTAGTCATAAAGCTTGGGAAACAGTATTGGACCGAACCAAGCCCTCTGAGTGTGGGTGCCAGCTAGGAGGCCAAGACAGTCTATGGGACCTCTAACAGTTGATCCAGTCTTTAACCCTAGAGCACAAATGGACTTTGGGAGCCCATTCCCTATGGAAGGATACTATTGCAGCCCAGATACAGCAAGGAGGGCCTAAGCCCTCCCCCAAACGATATGACAGACTTTGAAGGTCCCTGGTGGAGGGCCTCATTATCCCTGGGGAGGAGTTGGGGGATGAGTTGGGGGAGTTGGTGGAGAACATGGGAGGGCGAGGGAATGGGGGGGATGGATATGTAAATATGAGTAGTAAAGAATTTAAATAAAAAAGAAACAGCATATGAAAATAAGGAAACTAAGCCCCAGCAGTCAAGTGGCTGAAATCTGTATGCTTAAGGCTGTCTCTAACCATCCCTGCTGTATCTCACAAATTTAACTGGTTGTATACAGCAGTGAAGGGAACCATGAGCACTTGGGTGATGAGAATTCTTGTGGCCTAGGGCGCCTGTGCAATCTTCAGAATGTCTCATATAACTGCTAGAACTGAAAGGTTTGATACTGGAGCTGTGGAGCTACAGCATCTTTTCAGTTACTGTGCTTGCCTGGGGTCCTATAAACAGGACATAAAAGGGTCAGGAGGTCACCTGAGACTGGACTGAAAGGATGTGCCATCAAAATAAGCAACACCGAATAGAAAATAAACAAACCAGGAGACAGTTTGGGATGAACAGGCAAGGAAGCCAGGCTAGTGTCAGAGGGTGGTGCGGTCAGGGCCTGGGCCATTTCTATTCCCATTGGAAATACTGCTAGCAAAAGGCCATAGGCTCACAGAGCACAAGGGCAGGAGGGAAGGGAGAGCTCTGGGATACCGAAGCTAGAGAAGATATTTAGCCATTGGACGGGGTTACTTCCCCACATTTGATCTTTTTGTTTATTTCTTCCCTTAAGAAACTCTGATTTAGCCAGGCATGTACCTTTAACCCCAGCACTCAGTAGACAGAAGCAGGCAGATCTCTGAGTTCAAGAGAGGTCTACATAGCTCATTTTAGGCCAGACAGGGCTACATAGAGATCTTTTCTCAAAAAACAAACCAAACAATCAAAGAAATACAACAATGAAAAATAAACTTTTCTCTTTTAGAGAACCTATGGACACCAATTGCTAGTGACACAAGTAAAGGGGAAATTTGCTGTGTAGATCAGACTGGCCTGAAACTCACAGATCTGCTTGCTTTCTGCCTCCCGAGTGCTGGGGTTAAAGGTGTGCACCCGGCTAAATCAGAGTTTCTGAAGGCAAGAATTAAAGCAAAAAGATGGGAAAGTAACCCCTGTCCAATGCTTAAATATCTTCTCTAGTTTTGGCATACTGGAACTCTTCCCAGTAATGTTGATGGCTCAGGGCTGGGTATGGTGTCTACTGGGTGATCCTTATGTAGGCTAAGATCCATCAAATACACCTTTGCTCAAGACTAGAGGCTGGGAGGCATCCTTAGAAGTGGAAGAAAAGTCAAGGAACTGTTTTACATGGCAGTATGATTATGTTAAAGACAATGTTTAGAGTGAATGGACTGGTGTAGGCCCTTGCTGGCTGTTCTGCTGGAGGGAGTTCCTTCCCTTGGCCCTGTCCATGCCTTTCTTTCTCCATATGGTTGCTATCAGGCTGTGCGGTTGC